TGCGCGTCTGCCGCAACGTCTCCAGCCAGAGGGAGGTGCGACGCGCCGCATTCGTGGCGCCACCAGCTGCGACGCCACCGGCCCGTCCGCCAAAGCTGGCGGTGCGCGTCATAGCTGGCGATGCCGGCGCTGGCATTGCAATATTAACTGATGGGCAGGTGCCTGGCACGGAGCCGGACCCGGAGCCGTTGCCGTTGCCGTTGCCGTTGCCGTTGCCATTGCCATTGCCAGAGACGGTGCCGGTGGCGGTGCCGGTGCCAGGATACGAAACATTCGGATAGAGGCTGCCCTTGCATTGGTTCTCCATGCAAGAGGCCGGCGACATGCCACGCAACAAACAAAACAAAAAATGCAAAAAAAAAACGTCACAATATTTTTGTTGTTGTTGTTTCTTCTCAAGTTATTTATACAAATTGGTTTGATTTGTTGTTGTTGTATTTCTGTTCAGTTGCATTTCGATTCAGATTTGTTTTTTTTTCTTTCTTTTTTTTTCTTTTTTTTTCGCTTCTTCAATTGAAATTTTCACATCATTTTTTGTGCTGTTGCTCGATTTGCACTGACTCGAACCACAATTCGAACGGTTCGAATGTTGATTTGTTTTTGATTTGAGCAGCGAGCGCGAGCTTTGTTGATTTTCGAAATTTTCAATTCGATTTTCGCCGACGATTCGATTTTCGGCTGCGTAATTGTCCAAAATGTAAACAAAACACGACGGGCCCAGCACGAGAAACCATTTGACTCGAATCGGGTTTTTCATTTTCCACCAGCCTTTCGCCTGCACTGAGTATGCCCCTTCTATAGGGTATATTAGTTGGACCTCCATTTGGCAGACATGCTGGGCAGCGGAAGCAGCTCTTGAGGCAGGCGGAACAATGGCTGCTGAGCCGTCCATCCGATTATCTATCTGGCCTGCTGCTTGTCCGTCCGTCCGTCTGTCCATCCGTCTACCCAGTGTCAGTGGCCCCATCGTGCCGCCCATCTATCTGTCAATCCCTCCGTCTGTTACCTAATTTCATTGATCGTCCAACTGTCCGAGTGTCTCATCCGTCTTTCCGCCCTTCTGTCTATCATCCTGCTCATCTCTTCACCCCAGTTCCCCAAATTGTCCGTCCGTTCATTTAATATATTCCGATTGTCTATTTGCTATCCTATTTTGCTATTCTCCCGTTTTGTTGTCTATTCAACTGTCCGTCCGTTCGTCTGTCCTCCTCAGTTTGGCCGTCTACTTGTATGTCCCTCCGCCCATCCACACTTCTATTCATTCGTCCCCATCTCATAAACCTCAAGCTAGAAGCTGCAAATTCAATTTGTATATTCCGTATATGAGCTATTCCCGTTACTCTATAGTCTGCATTCTAGATTCCCCCAATTCATAGAAACCAATAGAGACAGAGATAGACTAAAATAACACCTATAGCATATACTATGTAAATGAAACTCTTAAACTCTTCAGGAATAGATCTAAAAACATAAAACTTCAACAATAACCAAATTTCCCATGGTGTACAGGGTATTTGTTAGTCTAGCACTTACCACGAGAGCACTTTAACTTTTTGTTGCTGTTTTTTTTTTTTTTTTTATTTCAGCCTTCGGCTCTTGCGACCTGCGCTCGGTCGGAAAAAAAATAGAAAAAAATTTGGTTATATTTATATTTTCGATATAATTTCCCTTTTTTTCGCTCTAATTTGGCCGCATCGAAACGTTTCTAGTTGTCAGCACGCGTCGCCGATCGACCGATCACCCGATCGCCCGATTGCCCGATTACCCGATTGCACGATTGCCGGGCAAATGGAATGGAACCAGCTGCCGAGGTAGTCGCGGAGCGATGCCGCCAATGCCGCTGCCGTTATATTTTTATTTATATATCAGTTTTTTGTGCCTCATCGAATTCGCCGGGCGAAGAGCGAAATGTTTTTTATTGCTAGCACGCGTCACAGCTCGTGTGCATGGGAAGAATTTGAGGTGACTAAGTGTTGACAATCGAGTATTTATGATCGCCTGGCGATTATCGATTTGTAATAATGGGCTGATAATTACCGATTGGGGCTTTCAGGTGTTCTGATTTCTCTAAACGTATACGTATTTTCGATCACTGATCATCGAATTCGACTGGTTATCGTTTATCGATCACTGATTACTGACAATAGATAGCTTATTAGTGGTCATTGGTTATCGAAGCTCATAAATACTGTTTAAAAATTATCGGTAGTTGATTTCAAACTATCGATTATTAATCGTTTCTTATCGGAAAGTGATAAACATTTGCCTCTTACTGTTAAGCAGTAACAGTTTGCTCATCATCAGCCACTATTGGCATTGCACCCATAACCGACTATCGATAAGCGATAAACGCAATTAAATTAATCGATTATCGTTTATCGATAACAATAGCTAAAAGTAATCTGTTTAATATACAATTATTCAAATTTATATGACTGATTTTCTGTCTGCATTACTCCGCAATCGATAAGCGTTTATCGATTACTGCCAAGACATAATATTATACATCTGACGTCTAATTTGTTAGCTGAAATTAATTTCTTGCTCAGCCGTGCGGCTGACAAAGCGATAACCGATTGCTGTTTATCGAACAACCGATTACTGCTTGCTGCTAATTGAAATGGACGCAGCTGCCGCTGAGTGAGACATCCGCTGCCCTTTCTCCAATGTTTCTATTCCAATGGCAACAATTGTTTGCCTACGTCATGAGAGCATTGCTTGCTTCCTGCTGACTTGTTTTCCGCTCCAACTCTCTGCCAGGCCAATTCGCTCTCACTCTTGCTCTCCCTCTCCCTCTCTTTCTTTAGCTCACTCTTTTACTGTGTGTGTGCCTGCTGACAGGTTTGACTGAACTTGAAGATGCCCTGTGACGCGTGACTCATCCAAAATGTGAAATGTGAAATGTGAAAATGAAAAAGCCTTGTTCCACATGGCATTATTCCCAATACATATTACGAATACCCAAAAATATGAATATGAAAATGAGCTTTGCAATAAGAAAAGAATTCTTATTCAACAATTATTGGCCCTTGGCCAATTTGTGTTTTACAGCAACGCTTGTGTCCTATAGCCCGACCAAATTTGTAGGTCTATAAATTCCAGATATATTTCGCTCTCGCAAACACAACTTAATTTGCACGGAAAACCCATAAATTGCCGCTCGTTTAATGACAAAACTTAAATGTCATCCTCAACACTTCAGGTTTGGTTTTTGTTTGTGCTCAGTTTTTTTTTTTTTTGGTATTTTAGTGCAGTATTTTTGTAAACAACATAAATACTATACACCAAGGTGTATACAAATTGTCGAACATTTGCAAACATTTTGTGGTTTTTATGGTACGAGAATATAGTTAGAGGTATACAGTATATGTAGATATATCTATATAGTTTATATCTATATACTATAGTTATATAGCTTGGTATTTTGTATAGCAATCGATTTTATATATTTCCGTTACCAAATTGTTGTTGACATTTATATTGATTTACTTAATTTCCCCCAAAAAGCAACAAATTGGGACATTTTTTTCTCAAAAATTTCCCAATTATTTCACAAAATGACAATACTATAAATAGATATGCAATAAGAGTATAGAAAGCACCTAAAATTTCTTGGAAAAATAACTCAAAAATATGATTTTTTACACAAAGATTCCCCATACTATAAAATTGTATCAAACCTATGGCAATTCCCTGTAAAAAATAATTATTCAAATATCATAAATACATATAAATTTCATTTTGATATATATATATATGTAGATAAATGTATATTAAAATTCAAACATGGTTTTCTTCTAAGGTGCATCTTAACAGCTAGTCGCGCTAGTCATTGTCAGAACATGTGCAGGGTATTCAAAAAGTCAACGGCAGGCAAAGAAGAACGAACAAACTACGCTTACCTTTATATAGTCTTATCTAAGATAAATTCTTTATATAATATATATAAACATTAGCTATTGTGAATATGTGAGTGAATGAATGCGTTTTGGCATCAATGATTCAGATTGATTCATAGGCACAATGATATTTGGAGTGAAATACAAACTGAACTCTGAGATTGTGAATACATTGAATGAATGAATACATTGAAATTAATGAATGAATACTTTTAAACGAGTACAGATAAACAATTAGCTATGAGTACACAGAAGGGAGTGGAGCTATGAATACATGAGAGAGAAGAATTGCGAGAGAGTAGAATTATGATTCCAAGAGAGAATTTAACTATGAATACATGTGAGCATAAAAAGAGTAGAAATTTGTCTATAAAACTATGACTACAATTTGTGCAGGACTAAGGGTACGCTTGAGAGAAGAAAGTATGAATAGAATTCGGTGATTAGATTGCAAAATAGAAGAGAGAGAAGAAATTTGAGTACATTTATGAATAGAACTATGAGTACATATGTGAATAGCAACAATTGCGAACGGAAATATGAATACATTTGATGATTTGAGTAGATTTCCGTACAATCACTATGCGTACAATCACAATGAGTACAATCACAATGAGTACAATCACTATGAGTACATTCAATGAGTACAATTTGTTGGCACAATTCGTGTGTGCAAATTGTAAGGACGTTTGAGTGGAGCACAACTACGAGCACAACTACAATGAGTATTGGATGAGCACAATTTTGGAGTGAGTACGAATGCGATAATGCGAGTTGTTTTGGACTCGAAAACAAAAGCAGAAACTGTTTAACGAACGCATTCAAAGCAAATGGCAAAATTGATTTGGGCATCAAAACAAACTTCAACTACGAAACTTTGCTAAACATTTTTTGGTATAACTTGAATATTTTTGTGTATTTTTGTTATTGTTGGTATCTTTTGGTATTTTTTGTATATACACAATGCACATGAATGCTAAAACGACGTTGGTTTTTTTTTGGGTTAAGGAGGTTTTTTAATTGCCATACAAATTTTGTTTGTTTTGTTTTTTTTTTTTTTTTTGTTGGGATAGAATTTGTAAGATTTTTGTCATTAAATACCATTTTGGAGCATTGGAGAGTTTCGTTAGTGGCCTCTGTGAAGGCCCTTCTAAGTCGCAACTTTCGGCTTTCGGACAATGTGCGAGGCATTAGAAGAACGCCCTAAAGAGAATTGTCGATGCGAATTGTGATTAGTACAGTTAGTTAGTTGAAATAGTTAGTTGTAGTTAATTAAATTAGTTACTTGAGGGAGAGGGTGGAAATATTAAAGGGAGGATATATACATATATATAGGGCATATACATAGGCTAAATAAAATGGGAGCTTTTCTTTAATAGTGAACATTGAACAGTATAGCTAGTATAACAGTTACGTATAACAGTTGCGTATAACAGATATAATATACGTTTAAATAGATTAAATATATTTATAAAACAGCTCCATATATAAGAGCTGTAAACTGGAATTTTGTTTTCTAGAAATACTAATTATGGTACTACATATATAATATAAAAAGCAGTTAAAATATGGAATATTCAATATCAACTAGTAAAGACTTAAGTTAAGTATATTCACATATAAATATATGTATATAGTACCACAAAGATATAAACGATATATTTATATAAACAAATATTTATCTTTGATGGACTCAAACATAAATTCATCTCTTTAGCTTGATGGATGATCCCACAAAATTTATATAAACTGTTGATCGACATCTACAACTGTGGCAATTAGCGCTATTAGTTCGCCTGTCTATCTATCCGTCTATCCATTTATCTATCCACTCGTATTGCCGTCTATATGTCTGTCTAGGTTTCCGTCTGTCTGCCTGAGAGCTTTAAGCTTTTCAATATATGTCTATGGCTGCATTGCCTACTTAGCAGACAAGTTGATCACTGTTTATTATGATAGCATTTAATATCTTTAATATCGATAATAATCGATTATCGATTTGGCGTAGAAAAAATAGCACATATGTAGGCCAAATGGCTATCCGTAAAAGCTTGAAATAATTTCATTCCTCTTAATTTTTGGATACTTTAACCCCTTAACCCTAGGCTACTTGAAGTAACTTGAGCTTTGGCACATTTCAATATTCAATTACAGAGCAACTGCAAGTCGAGCATACCCAATGAATGTGCTCTAACTTTGCTTAGAAAATCGTCCGCTTTGACTAAGCAGCAGACAAAAAGGTTCAATGTTTATTTTCAGATAAAAGTTGACCCTTTCGCTTGTGCTAAACTCTGTCTATATATAAATACTTATATATATATCCATAAGCCTAATAATATATATATATACCTATCTATATATATGTATCTATTTCCTGCAGTCAAAGTTTGTAGCTAAACTATATATAATTATCATATAAATGTTTACAACTGACTAAATCCTTCAGCTTTGCACACGCTTGAAAAGTTTGAGCACACACACACACGCATACATACTCTATCACACACACACACACACACTTATACCCGCGAATGAATGAATGAAAGTTGTTGTGTTGCATAATTAAGTGAAAAGCTTTTCAAATCAAGAAAACGCTAAGCTGTAAAAGTTGTCGAAGCTTTCACGGCCAAAAGCTCGCAGGCGCGTAAACTGTCAAAGCTCTCGCGCACACAGACACACTCACACACACGCACAGTTATGCATAGTTAAGTATTTATTTATGGCTTGCCAGTACTTTAAATTGCATACAAAATTTATGTGCGCGTATTTGTGTGTGAGCGTGTGTGTGGGGCTAAGGGGGCTTAGGGGGCTGCGGGGCTATCGGTGATGAGAGTGGTGCGACCGCTTAGCGCAGGACTTAAAATGGAAAGCTTAAAGCTTTTAAGCCAAATGTATGCAAAAGTTATTAAAAAAAGCCAAACAAAACAAAAGCTAGTTGGCTATGCCCAACTGACAGTTATCCTGGCTATCAACAATCGAGTTTGATTAGTTAGTATATTAGTTAGTTAATTGTAGTAGTTAATTAGTTAACTAAAGATTTTGAACTCTCCTTGATATGCTAAAAGCTTTATTCTCAGCAAATGCAAACTTATTGGTAAATGCTCGACTGGCTGATGCCCTAGTCCATTCTCCTGGCTAATACCGTGCACCATGTGTATAGACATATATTTGAAAGCAATATTTTACAACTTCTATAAGGCAGAGATTTTAAAAAGCTTGACTTTCTCGGCTTTCTATTATTGAAAACGGCAAGAAACTCAGACTGTATGGAGCAGAGTCAAGTCTATAAGTAAGTATACCATCAATAAGTTGATAACAACTTGAAGGAACCTATGGGATCTACAGACAGATCAGCGCAATAACTGATTTAGTCAAGTCCTTGATGTTACAAAGTATATGTATATACTATATATACCATATTTACATACTATATACGAGTATATCACCTATGCTTCATGACCCCCTACGCTAAAGCGATATACCCTGTTCAACTAGCTGCAATTAGCTACAGGATATTTTCATTGCGGCTAGCTCTGGGCACTTTATATCTTTATTTATATATACATATATACTTATATACATTATTATCGTAGGCCATTAGCTTTGTCCAAGTTGTTCTGGTTCTTTCTCTCCCTCTCTCTTCCTATCTCGCTCCTTTTTTTAAAGCTTTTTGTTTAACAACTCTGCCGGACTTTGGCTACGCCACGCCCCCTCATAGGAACCACCCCAACCTCCGGGGCCCCCCTGTTCTACACCACGGTAGCACCTAGCTGTACAAAGTGTCAATTATCTACAGCGTCAACAAGGCTGAACAAAAAAAAAAAAGAAGAGAAACACCAAAAAATATACAACAACAAAAAAACAACAACAACAACGAAAATAATAAAGATAAAAACGCGACAGCAAATGTCAAAGAGTGAAAATAATCATCAATCATTTTAAGGTCAAACGGGCGAGCCGTGAAGCAAGGAATACGTATATAGATGGATAGCTATGCGAATACACTGCGAGAAAGAAGTGCTTAAGTGAATAGCTGTTGAGTGTGCCTTGCGGCTGACACTCGATTTGAGCCTAAATCAAGTTTTCAAATTCTATTAAAACTAGAATTGAATTACTGTCCTAGGCAATCCTCCTCTTGCCTTCTCTCTCGCTCTTGCTTTCAATTTGATACAATGAGCTGTAAGAGCGAGAAAGAGTTATGGTGTGTGAGAATCACAGATGAGATTTGTGGAACGATTTGATAGATTCCGAGAGAACTGAGGATATATGTATCTATCCAGCATTTCCTATCGATACCCAAAGCAAAACTTTACAGAAATTGCTAGTTTTTTGTTCTCAGTGTATATCTATATATTTATATATACATCAATTTGTTGTTCATGACCATTGTCTTTGTTGCAATGTCTGTCGACCTGTCTGTGTTGCAACTACCCACATTGGCCCCAATTTGTGAGCCAACTTCATTTATTTCCGACTTCCCCTATAACAAAATTTAAAAAATATTAGCTACAAAAATATATTAGGCTTATAGATTGTATACTTACTTTTCTATTAAC